CCCCCCCGACTCTCGAAACAGTTCAGGTAATTTAGGAGGCAGGCTTCGAACTTGCCTGTCAGGGTCAACCCATGCTGAGAGACATAAAGCATTCCAGCAAAAAAGTTGGAGGTTCTGGATAAAGTCTCCCCACTCTAAATCGAACCCAGGTCTTCTGCGTGTGACGGCGAAGGGCTTAACCGCTACACTACAAACATTGGTATGGATGGATAAGTAAGCTTATTTTATTTTAACATTGCGAGGCTTGCGAATAGGCGAGACTTTCGAGTTATAAACGTCCATCTTCGATAGGACTGTACCGAGGTGACGGAGAACTTTGAGCAACCCAAGTTCAAAAATGCCGTATGAGCGAATCGAACCAGGTCTGTATTTAACGTAAACGAATAAGATGCCAGGCACTCGGTTCCATCAAACTGAGCCAACTGGCAGAAGGTAGTGGTTCAAATCTGAGTGGGATCCACACTTTTCTTGCCTTGCCTCTGATGTTATCATTCCCCCTCAGAGCACGAGAAGACATAAGGGACGCTTTTTCAAACCAAAATTATTGTGTGACCAACTTTAAATTTCAATATTTGCGGATACAAAAAATGGCAGTCAATACGACAACTATAAGTGTGACGCTATAGTCCAAACGAAATCAGCTGTCAACGAAACTGGTTTAAACTAATCCACATAATACATCGATGGTTTGCTCTGTCGGAGTAAAGAAAGACACATTGACATGATAACGGCCATTAGGCGAAGAAAGAGCGAAGCAGACAGACAGCTACAAAGGAGGGAAAGAACAGAATATGTTGGGTATTATGCATTTGCTGTGACGTAACGTACATTATTCCTGGTTTTAAAAATAAATGGACGCTGCCTATTGTCACACGCCCCACACCCACTCCCCCTCCAAAAAAGATATATTTTTGAACAGTCAACAGAAAACACATAGATCTAAACAAACGCGTACACTCTAAAATCTGTTTATCGGCGTCTGTGGTTTGACAGTAAGGCTCGTTGATATCGCACATAGAAGACATAATGTTCGATTCTGATGTGGCGAGTTTTATTTTAAGTCGATTCCAAAACCGGGCGTCCCAGACCAGACTTTTTCCACGCCGTCCGTCGGGTGAAAGGGGGGTAATTTTCGTAGACCTTGCCTCTATAAATTCTTCTCCTTTCCCACCACGGTCTGTTGGTTTTTTGTTTTGAGAGTGTTTTACGGCGCTTGCCGCGACGAAGGCAGACGACAGAACATGAGAGCAGGAAAGAAGGCAAAAGGAGACAATTTTAAAGAAGAACATTTTTCGTCGCTGTCAAGTTTCGAGCTGCGGACCTATTGAATGAGAGGCGAACAACATACAGTGGAAACCATATATATAACAGGCCCGGTAATAACAGGGAACCGGTAATAACAGGGATTTTTTAAATCCCCGATTTGTCCGACTCTTTGTCTCTATTAAAAGTTATCGGCAATAACAGGGCCTCATCGGAGCCCAACCGGTTATAACAGGGACAAAGGCTCGTTAAAAATGTGTAAAAAGTAAGAGAGAGAGAGAGAGAGAGAGAGTGAGAGAGAGAGTGAGAGAGAGAGAGAGAGAGAGAGAGAGAGAGAGAGAGAGACAGAGAGAGAGAGACAGAGAGAGAGAAACGCAGTG